TAATAATTAACGACTATATCCAACCTGCACCCGCAGCACAGTCTTAGAGCACTGTGAGCTTTAGCTTTCAGTTTTACAGTTTCTGAGGAATTCTCTGAGGTCTGATATGTCCTGGTGCCTTGCTCCGTGCAGCTCTTAATCCTTTACTACACCCCTGGGCTGGACATGCTGTTAACAGTATGCTAATACCATAATCATGCTGGTGTGTGCACACACCTGCTGCTTGCTACTCTTTCAGTCTTAAGCAGTGCTTTGTCTCTGTGATGAGTTCAGGGTCCTGCCCCCACCAGCCCACCTGAGGTGCCCCAAAAACACTGTCTGAGGATAACTGAAAGTTTAAGCAGTTATAGTATCAATATTATCAGTATTAGGACAGATAAGTCACATCACTGATTACTGACTGTTGATAGACTGAAAAATGTCTGAAATGATCAGGGAGCAAGAGGCCCAATAACCACAATTATATTTCCAGTCGGAAAGTTAGCATAAATTATGTAACAAATGTAACAAACCTACAAAAAATTAATATTACTTTTTTTTTGGTATTGAACTGTTAATGTATAACATGTTCCCGAGAACACATTAAAAGGCAGACAGCCTCCTCCTCATAAGCCTTCCACAGATTAATTGGTGATTTACAAATCCACATTATACCATCTTATAAAATTCATGTTTGCTAATGGTTTGTCTTGGGTTCCATTTTGTGACTGGGTAGCTGTTGATTGTGATGCTGTTCTGCAGCCAAGATTTGCAGATGTCCAGACCTTTCCATCAGCACATGAACACACCACACACTGCCACAAGGACTCAGGGCAGCCGGTATTTTATTCCTTTAATTCTGGCATCTCCAAGCATAATCATCAGTACCCGTGACCGGTGCTTAGCTTTGTTTGCTACTAATCTGTCAAACCTATCAGCCACTGTGGCTGTTTCCAGCCATATCTGTAATTTTCCAAAACCAAAAATCCCATCATTCATACTGGAACTGTCACTTTTTATATGAAAATAATGTCACAAAATTCACTGTAATTGCTAAAACACAGATGCTTAACATTGCAAATCTGATAGTAATCAACAAATTAATTAATTAATTGACACTAGCAAATATAGCCTACTTTATTTTAGAATATTTTAGAGTACTTGGGAAAGATCATTATGAAAATTTAGATGAACTCCGATTAAACCATAACAACATAGTTCACTTAACCAATATTAAATGCCTGTGACCTTTGATCCCTCAGACAGCACTGCATTAAAACTAACTTGATTGTATGAANACTTATGGTACAGCAAAGCCCCCTCCCCTTCTCTGTCAGATTACTCTCACGTAATCAGTGCAATCTCGTTGATTATGTCTGGAAAATGAGTTGTAGACGTGACGGTAAATTAATTTAATGAAAATAAAATTATACTTTAATGTCAGATTGTAATACTGTTAAAAATATAAATACATATAGTTGTTTCGAAAACTTGGGGGCAATTTTGGCCCCCGGAACATGGCTTTTGGGGGCATTCTTGGATAAATTGCGGGCCAAATGGCCCGTGGCCCTTGCTAATTTCTGACACTGTCAGTTATTGATATAAAAAGTTGAGTTACCACGATTTCAGTTAAATAAAATTAGACTAGGGAGAAATCTGTTGGGGGTGAATATGATGGGGTTGCAACAATGCAGAGACCAGTAAGTTTATTCTTAGAGGATAATGAAGATGCTGGAGATGGAATGGAAAGAGGGAGTATAATTTTAAAGCGGTGTAGTATTCATACTAAAGTGCTAGTTTGCCCATGTTAATGTACATAATCATAAAGGTGCTACATACATTAACAATGGTTACAGGTCTGGTTGTGCTTGAGCCAGTCTTTTAAATGCTATTTAAAGATGGAAAAGCTGGAGAAATCTCTTATGGAGATTGGCAGGCTATTCCAGATTTTACTACCTCTGACAGATAAGACAGTTTGAGAGAATGGAAGTGCGCCTGAACAGGATTTCACATTTACACATTTTCTCCTCTTGAGCTTGCTCTAGTGGAGGTATTACTGATTGATTTCCGTTTAAAAAACTGACTCAGAGGTGGAGGTGCAAGTCCATTCAAGATCTTATATACGGAACATGCAAGTTTGAAGGTAGTAAAATTGTCGAAGCTCAGGAGATTGTGGCGCACTAGGATGTTGCAGTGATGATAAGAGAAGGGTTTTTTTTATCAAAGATCTTCAAAGTTTTTTTATAAAGAGATTCACTAGGTTTGAGTACTGTTTTGCCTGTGCGTGACAAGTTTGTGAAGCAGTACTCAATATGTGACAAGATCATAGAGTGCATGAGCATTCTCGCTGCTTCTTCAGTTAGTGATGATGTTATGTGTTTAAAATTACTCAAGTTGAATTTGACTGTTCTTATGACTTTCTTCACATGATTTTCGAAAGACAGAGTTGGGTCTAGAATGACACCTAGATATTTGAATTCATTTACGAGTTCAAGCTCTTCACTCTTTAAGAAAATACCAGAATGGCTGATGTCAATTTTTTTTTTTTGAAAACATCATACAGACAGTCTTTTTAGTGTTTAACATTAGACATGAGTTGGTGAGCCATTTCTGTATAGGGATCAGTGCTGAAGTCAGAATGTTAGAGGCCTCTTGTGGACGTTTAGCTTTAGTCAGGATCACTGCATCATCCACGTACATCAAAATATACACAGTCTGACAGACATTTGGCAAATCATCCTACTACTGGACTAGTTAATATATAAAGAAAAAAGTTCAAGTATGGATCCCTGTGGAACTCCCACTGTACACTCAAGATCAGATGATTTGATCTCATCAGCAGAAACATATTGCTTTTGTTCAGACAGATATGATTTCATCCATAATGTAGCGTGTTCAGAAAAGTAGAAGGCCTTCAGTTTAGCAATGAGAATCTGATGATCTACTGTGTCAAAAACCTTTTTCAAATCCAGAAAGACGGCTCCTACACAGGCACTTTTATCAAGACAGTTTTTAACCTTTTCTAAGAAGACACTGATGGCTGATTCTGTTGAATGGTGAGCCCGAAAACCAAATTACATTGGATGCAGAAGAGAACTGCCCGTATTCAAGTGATCAGTTAATTATTTTTGGCAAACTGCAAGCACACAGCATACTACACAGCACTCGTGGTTTGCAATGAACTATCCAGGCCTTTTTCCTTCCCTTTGCTCTCTTTTGACGACGTTCAAATGTTATTTGTGGAAATATGTTAATCACTGCGGTGCAAAGTTTGTTATGATGACTGTTAATGTAGGCTAATTAACAGTGAATGTAATAAAATGTTTAGAACACCTGTAAAGCGGAGTGTTTACAGTGCATAGTTAAATGTCCCACTGCTGATGCCAGCTATCATGGCATGCCTCTTGTCCAATTAAATTTTTTGTTTGGGACTTACTGTTGTATAATGCAGATTATGACGTATGCCATCACTACATGCTTTTTTTCTCTAGCACTAGCCAGGGTCTACATGTGACTTGGCTGTGTGTTTTGTTTTCTGCTGAAACTCCAGGTTGCATAACTTGTGTAATAATTAACGACTATATCCAACCTGCACCCGCAGCACAGTCTTAGAGCACTGTGAGCTTTAGCTTTCAGTTTTACAGTTTCTGAGGAATTCTCTGAGGTCTGATATGTCCTGGTGCCTTGCTCCGTGCAGCTCTTAATCCTTTACTACACCCCTGGGCTGGACATGCTGTTAACAGTATGCTAATACCATAATCATGCTGGTGTGTGCACACACCTGCTGCTTGCTACTCTTTCAGTCTTAAGCAGTGCTTTGTCTCTGTGATGAGTTCAGGGTCCTGCCCCCACCAGCCCACCTGAGGTGCCCCAAAAACACTGTCTGAGGATAACTGAAAGTTTAAGCAGTTATAGTATCAATATTATCAGTATTAGGACAGATAAGTCACATCACTGATTACTGACTGTTGATAGACTGAAAAATGTCTGAAATGATCAGGGAGCAAGAGGCCCAATAACCACAATTATATTTCCAGTCGGAAAGTTAGCATAAATTATGTAACAAATGTAACAAACCTACAAAAAATTAATATTACTTTTTTTTTGGTATTGAACTGTTAATGTATAACATGTTCCCGAGAACACATTAAAAGGCAGACAGCCTCCTCCTCATAAGCCTTCCACAGATTAATTGGTGATTTACAAATCCACATTATACCATCTTATAAAATTCATGTTTGCTAATGGTTTGTCTTGGGTTCCATTTTGTGACTGGGTAGCTGTTGATTGTGATGCTGTTCTGCAGCCAAGATTTGCAGATGTCCAGACCTTTCCATCAGCACATGAACACACCACACACTGCCACAAGGACTCAGGGCAGCCGGTATTTTATTCCTTTAATTCTGGCATCTCCAAGCATAATCATCAGTACCCGTGACCGGTGCTTAGCTTTGTTTGCTACTAATCTGTCAAACCTATCAGCCACTGTGGCTGTTTCCAGCCATATCTGTAATTTTCCAAAACCAAAAATCCCATCATTCATACTGGAACTGTCACTTTTTATATGAAAATAATGTCACAAAATTCACTGTAATTGCTAAAACACAGATGCTTAACATTGCAAATCTGATAGTAATCAACAAATTAATTAATTAATTGACACTAGCAAATATAGCCTACTTTATTTTAGAATATTTTAGAGTACTTGGGAAAGATCATTATGAAAATTTAGATGAACTCCGATTAAACCATAACAACATAGTTCACTTAACCAATATTAAATGCCTGTGACCTTTGATCCCTCAGACAGCACTGCATTAAAACTAACTTGATTGTATGAAGGATATTACTACATGGGCTCAAGAGCACTTTTGAAAACCATTCTTGGGAAAAACACAGTTCATCACTCCATCTACAAATGCAAGTTAGGTATCTACCATGCAAATTACCAACAACATCCAGAAACACTGCAGACTTCTGGACCCAAGCTCGAGTGTGTGTTCAAACTGTTTTTGGAAATCATGGATGTTGTGTCCTCCGGACTAAAGAGTAAAAGGACCATCCAGATTGTTACCAGTACAAACTTCAAAGTTGGCATCCGTGATGGTATGACAGTGTGTTAGTGCCCATGGCATCATGGATAACTTGCACATCTGTAATGTCTCTGTTAATGCTTAAAGGTTCATACAGGTTTTGGAGCAACATATGCTGCCATCCAGGAGCATCTTTTTTAGGAATGTCCCTGCTTATTCCAGGAAGAAAATGACACACACTCACACACTGGCTTTGCAATAAAAGAGTGCGGGTAAGAGACTAGCATGTCTGCAGTCCAGACCTGTCTCCATCTGAACATGTGTTGTGCATTATGCAGCACAAAATGCAGCAATGGAGAACCCAGACTGAAGTCACTTAAGTCATATATCAAGCAAGAATGGGAAAGAATTTCACTTCAACACTTACTGAGTGCTGTTAAAAAAAAGGTGATGTAACACAGTAGTAAACATGCTCCTGTCCCAACTTTTTTTGGAATATGTTGCAGGCATCAAACTCAGAATGAGTGGATATTTATAAAAAAAAAATGAACAGTTTGAACTTTCTTGGACTGTATTCAATCGAATGCAGGTCAAAAAGGATTTCCAAATCATTGCACTCTGTTTTGATTTACACTTAACACAGCATCCAAACTTTGTTGGAATTGGGGTTGTACTTCACATTGCGCAGAACTTTATTTTTCTGTTTTTGTTTTCATTAAAACTGTCAAAGGACATGTATAGCACCACTGCCATGCCACATAATGGCTTTTTTTGAGTAACCTAACATATTCTTAGGGTAACAATATGTAACGCGTCGGTCAGCTATAAACCTGCCACTAAAGTAAAGTAAAATACTGCTTTCATACCCTCCTGTGCTCTCTCATTTTACTTGATCAATCCTACTAAAAGGACTTATCTTGATATAGCTTTCAGTAAAAACACCACCTGTTTTCCTTGTTTGGTATCGAAAGTAATTCTGAGTTTGTTCTCGTCTCGTCTTGTTCTCCTCTAGACAAGGGGGGAAGGAGAGGGAACTGAAATAGGAGGCAGAATGAGGCAAAAGAATGTAGAGGGATTGCCTCTTGAAGCTATTTTTTCCCAGTGACTGACTGGTTGTTGCTGTTGATTATTCAATTAGTGCTACAGGAGCACAAAGAGAGACTTGTGCTTTAAGCTGTCATCGTTACCTCCCACATGGATCCAGGAAATGTGTTTACTGTAAACGCAAGCATCACGTTGAGCAAGCAATCCTACAGTTTTCTGCTTGTCATTAGTGTGCTTACTGGGGGTTTATTTCATGCTATTTCACAATTCAGCCCTGGTGTGAAAAGATTAAAAAGTGACGAATGAACATTACCCATACTAAGGGTGATTCTTAAGATTACGTTGTGTTGTGTTTTAATTAGAACTCAAGTTGTTTGGGGGCTCTGCTTGCAGGCCGGTTATGCTTGACTTCTGTTTCTTGCCTTTCAGATCACACACTACAAACAGTATCCTCCAAATGTCAGCAAAATCTACTCCTACTTTGAATGCAGACGCAAGAAAGGCTCCCAGTTTAGTGAAGTGGTGTTCTTTGGTCTTCAGTACCTGCTGAAGAAATACCTCATAGGTATGTTCACATCGTCCCCGCTGATCTAAGACATAAATTGACAGAACCATAGAGGAAAGAAAAGTGCTTGTTTAATGGCACTTTGCTGTTAAGGAGATAATTGGGGAATGAAGTGCCTTGTAATAAAACTGCTGTAGACACAGGAGAAATAGTCTGTGCTGTACTTTGTCTCTCACCCCTCAAAAGTGGCAGCTGAAATGGTTTGGTAAATCTAACATCATGTGTAAATAAAACAGTAGATCAACTACACTTGTACACTTTCATATAAGCTGGATGTTGAGTTAATCCTTTGTGTTTTCTGCATTTGACAGAGGTTGTAGTAACTTGGTTTGTTCTATTCAGGCCCAGTGGTCACAGAAGAGAAGATTCAGGAAGCCAAGCTCTTCTACCAGATGCACTTCAAACAGGCTGTGTTCAATGAGGAAAGCTGGAGGAAAATCCTTGAGGTATCCAAAAAGATTTTCAACTTTCAGTCTGTCTAGACAGATTCATCAGCGTATATCTAACCTGAAGGAAATGTGTTACTATGTCAGAAACATGATGGCCGTCTTCCTATCCGGATCAAAGCTGTCCCCGAGGGAAGGATTATACCGAGAGGCAACGTGCTCTTCACTGTGGAAAACACAGATCCTAACTTCTACTGGCTCACCAACTACATTGAGGTAAACCCAGAATGTGTTTTTAGTTTTTTCAATTGATGAAAGGGTTGAATTAGCAGATCAGTCAAATAACATATTCCATACTACCTATGGGGCTACACCAACATTTCAAAGATGGCACAGGATAAAAGATGTCAGTAATACCTCTTTAGATATACAGAGATGGGAGTGTCCACTCCATTTAATCTCACCAAAAAAATGTTTCACACACTAAGGGGCTGTCCACATCAAGAATGTTAATAACAGTAACCATAAATATATTGTTTCAAAAATTACAAGTATAAAGGCCCTGACACACCAAGCCAGTGATCGGCCATCAGTTAATGTTGGGCCTTCAGTGAGCGTCTGTCGCCATAGTCTTGTGGCGTGTCCAGCACCATTAGCCCTCATCAGTCTTTGTCAGCTTTTTTTCAGCCAATTCAGCATGTTGAATGACTGAGACACAGGCAACGGGAGGCAACGCAACAGTCGGCTTTCGTTGCCGCTAGTTCTTTGAAGGTGGTTTGGCTTGTCTGGGCCTTAATAACAACAACAGTGGTGACTGTATTGTTGGGATCTCTTTCAGAGCGATTTGATTAACAATAGAATCACTGACAGCCAAATTGAAATCTCTCTGAATTTACAAGGTGTTAGGTTCAACATGGCAAATGACACTGTGGAGAGACTCATCATTGAGGTTAAAAAAAAATGCGTCCCTGTTTGACAAAGCAAAGTCTTTATAAAGATGTTATTAGGGATGGGCATTTTAAGCAATTTCCATATTCAAGTACTCACATTAAATTAATATAGGGTTAGTTAGAGTAGGTGCAACAAAAAAAAATCTTACAGAAGAATAGAAATGTATATTGGCCAACAACAAAAAACAGATCCATTGGAAATTCATTAATTGAACAACCAAGCTTTAATTAGCCTATTCAACCATAAATTTGAAGTTAACTTAAGAAACATCAGCAAGCTTTCTGTTGCTGCTGTTGCACAGGTCAGACGCAGTGCTGAAGGACCATCATCGTCGCCTCTCTCCTCTCGGTCAGTTCAACATCTGCCCAAGCTAACACAGCTGCAGTGGCCAACGCCTGACACCAAGCCATTTAATGGTCCCAACAAACTCACACTGACACTGAAACTGCTCGCCTCTGTCATTAAACCCATTAATAACTATGAGGTAATGTTAGTCGTGTGATGCTAACAGTTAGCCCTGTCATTGTGTTTTGTGGGTGCGGACTCCCACCAACTGTCCCTGATGCGCGGTCACACTTCTTCAGCAGTACTCTCAAGACAAACAAAGAGAGAGCAACAGCAGTGAAGGAGGCGCTTGGCGAAGGAATTTAGTGCTCACAGGTCTACAATGTAATAAAGCGCTCCATTTGATGTGCAGAAGAGTTTTCTATTAGTGGAGCATGCATTTTCATCACAAATATTGGAGTCAGTCATGTTCATTTAATTGTGGAAAGCCAAAATCATGATCGTGAATAAAATTGGATTAAAATCAGAAAAAAACTGAAAATCAATATTGCAGCACTGTCATTAAATCTTCCCTTTTCTGTCATTAACAACAGCCCTTTCTCTTTTTTTTCTCATCAACTTATCACTATCTGTTCTCCTCTCTCCCCACACCCATGCTATTTTTAACCAACCCAATCTGCTGACTGCAGACCATGCTAGTCCAGATGTGGTATCCTATCACAGTGGCCACCATATCCAGAGAGTTCAAGAAGATCCTGGCCAAACACCTGAAGGCCACCTCTGGGAGCCTGGAAGGTCTGGACCTGAAACTGCATGACTTTGGCTACAGAGGAGTCTCTTCACAGGAGGTCAGGAGGACTTTCTGTCCTTGTTTTTATTTAGTGAGAAACCAGCACTGAGGTTGATAAACCTAACAGAGTTTCTCATTTAATTTCTGTCTCTTGCACCTTGCTACTACTGATAGTGTGTATGTACAGGTACTGTGTTTGCACTTAAAGAATTTCTTAGTAGTGCTGCACGATTTGGTAAAAATGTGCGATTGCGATTATGGTGGACAATATCAAGATTTGCGATTGCGATTACAATATAATTACAATAAAATGTAATAAATAAATGGTATCATGAGTCTTTTTGCCTGATTCAGTGTTTCCCCTACATTATATTAGGGGGCACTGACCTGACATAGTTATTGTTATGGACAGACAGTTTGTCAATGACCATCAACAGACTGAGCACAGTCAAACACGCTGCTCACACAGCAGCGCAACACGGAACTCAGTCTGGCAGCAGTAGCTCAGCCCATAGGGACTTGGGTTGGGAACCGGAGGGTCGCCTGTTCGAGTCCCCGTCCGGACCAAAATATGGAGCGTGGACTGGTGGCTGGAGAGGTGCCAGTTCACCTCCTGGGCACTGCCGAGGTGCCCTTGAGCAAGGCACCGAACCCCCCAACCGCTCGGGGCGCCTCACCAAGGGCAGCCCCCTCACTCTGACATCTCTCCACTTTATGCATATAGGTCCTGTTTGTGTATGTGTGTGTCGTTCGGACCTGTGTGTAATTGACAAGCAAGAGTGAAAACATTGAATTTCCCCTCAGGGGGATTAATAAAGTAATAAAGTAAATAAACTTAAACTTAAACTGTACACACAGCGGAGCAAGCATATGTTGCGTTCAGGCGTTGTCACGTAAATGACAAATTCCAGCGCCATAGCACAATACAATAGCATGTCAAGTGGGCCGAAACCGAGCAAAATTGCTCAATTTTTGATTTGTTATGGAGTCCATGATTTCCCTGTGACACTGACAAATGTTTGCTTAACTGCGCTTGGATGTTGTTTTATGAGGCTCTGGCGGCTTTCAGTTGTCTCTTTGTCTTTAACGTCACATGGCTCGGCTTTCTCTCTCATGCACTCTTCCTACTTTTCCCTGTACTGTGCTGTCTCAAGTGCTGATATAGATTGGTCGTGTTGCCGCGGGACGTGGCGACTTCAGCTTTTAAACTTAAACAGCATGTCTATCTTTTCAACGTCACCGTACCTGAATCCAAAGTATCGCCATGTAACAGACGTTTTTTTTTTCGCCACCAACTCAGCCTGTTCATGGTCGAGCTCATGCTCTTCTTCAGCGTCTGTGTTGGTCACTGCTGCACACCGGCTGCACGCACCGGGATAGCTTGTAGTCGTGATGTCAACAAACTCCACACACTACACAGCCTTTTATGCGGTTATGTAATCTCACAGCCTGACATCGCGATTGCGATTGCGATTAGATTAATCGTGCAGCACTATTTCTTAGTAATCACTGTCAGCATGACCAAGAATAAGAATCTTTTTGGAAAAGGGAAAGTTCTTTAAAAGAACATTCTTATCATTGTGTCATGTTACTGGTGTGCATTTTAGCTAGGCCCTAAGGTTAGATTAAGAGAACTCAATGAAAGTCAGAGGGAGAGTCTTACATAATAAGCATGAAGCTCTTGTACAGTGGAGCCACTGAGCTGATGAAAGTGTTTCATTGAAAGAGGGTTTTGAAATGAGATTCTTATAGGTCAACTTACAACTGAAAGGTTGATTTGAACATATTTTAAAGCAGACAGCAGCAGTGGGTTTATATCATGAAGGCAGACTAGTGTCAATGCAATATTAACCTAATGTCTGTCTGATTACATACAGGAACAATTCTTGAACACTTATTCCTGAAGCTGAATTTTATGTACTGAATCAACAGTGTCGCTGACAGAATCAGTAGCTTTTTGAGTTGGAGCTCCTCTCGCTGGTAACTGAAGGCACCTTTATCAGCTCAGCTCAGCTCAGCCCTGATGGCTATGAGAGGGACCCAAACCTTTCAGTCACGCAGTCATTCGTAAGAATTGTTGAGAAAATCTGCTGATAAATATGAAAAATACAAAATTACTGAAGGGAAGACAAGAGGTGCAATTCCATCCACCTTTTTATGCACATTTCCATCCATCCATCCATCCATCCATCCATCCGGGGCCAGGTTGCATTGGCAGCAGGCCAAGCAAAGCACCCCAGATGTCCCTTTCCCAAGCACGCTTTCCAGCTCCTCCTGGGGGACCCCAAAGTGTTCCCTGGCCAGATGAGATGTGTAATCCGTCCAGCGTGTCCTGGGTCTGCCCCAGGACCTCCTACCAGTGGGACGTGCCTGGAACACCTTTAACGGGGAGTGCCCAGGAGGCATCCTGATAAGATGCCCGAATCACCTCAACTGACCCCTTTTGACACGAAGGAGCAGCGGCCCTTCTCTGAGCTCCGTCCGGATGTCCGGGCTCCTCACCCTATCTCTAAGGCTGAGCCCAGCCACCCTACAGAGGAAACTCATTTCGTCCACATTTATCCGTGATCTCATTCTTTTAGTCACTGCCCAGAGCTCATGACCATGGATGAGGGTTGAGATGTAGATGGACCTTCCGGCTCAGCTCCCTCTTCATTGTAGCTACATTTGAATGGTAACCCTTCATACTCACTCATGAGGTGTAAAATTCAAGTCAGGCGTGTGTAAAGTAACAAAAAGGCGGGCATGACTCAAAGGAATATAATGTGCTCTGCACTTCTGTGATTTTACTTGGTTTATATCGACTGAAATGTCAATCGCCCCCTGTCTGTTGGAGTAAACGGTTTTTATTGTAATACTACACCAACCTAACATTTTTTTTACACCAAGTCACAGTGACAGGTAGTATGATGGTCAGGATATAATAATCCTGTAATAGATTGGTGGTTGTTGAATTATTAACTTTTTACACTGTGCCGGGTTTTGAACTGAACCTAAAAAACATTTAAACAGCAGTGACTTATCAACCCCACCTCTCCTCTCCAGTCTGCAGCATTAGGTGGAGCAGCTCACCTGGTTAATTTCTGCAGTACAGACACAGTGGCTGGGCTGCTAATGGCTCAGCGATACTATGGCTGCCCAATGGCTGGCTTCTCCATTCCAGCAGCAGAGCACAGGTATAACGCACACACACACACACACACACACACACACACAAGTAAATTGCAGATAAGACAGTGAACATCATGAATGTAGTCTGCAGCAACATTGTATTCTACAGTGCCTTATTTTTTTCTATCTTGTTGCATTACAACCGGTTATTTGAATTTATTTATTTATTTAGTCAAAATTGCAGATCAGGGTTGGGCTATAAAAATGCATCTAAAACTTTGAACATCCCACTGAGCATCATTAAATCCATTACAAAATATGAAAGAGTAGCCACAGGGAACAATTTTGGCCTCACATGGCCGTTGTACCTTCTTCCATAAGTTTAGGGAGTCTCCGACATGCCTTTGGCAAACTTCTTTTTTAAGCAATGCATTTTTCCTGGCCACTCTTCCATAAAGTCCTGCCCTGTGGAGTGTACGGCTTAAAGTGGTCCTTTAAACAGATAATCCAGTCTCTGCTGTGGAGCTTTCCAGCTCCTTCAGGTTGTCTTAGGTCTCTTTGTTGTCTCTCTGATTAATATCCTTCTTGCCTGGTCCTTGAGTGTCGGTGGGCGACACTCTCTTGGCAGGTTTGTTGTTGCTGCCAAATTTTTTCCATTTTGTAATAAATGATTTAATGGTGCTCAGTGGGACGTTTTATAACCCAGCCTTGATCTGCACTTCTCCAAAACTTTGTTCGGACCTGATTGGAGGGCTCCTTGGTCTTCATGGTGCTACTTACTAGGTGGTATCCATTGCTTAGTGGTGGTGCAGACTCTGGGGCCTTTCAGAGCAGGTGTACTACGATCATGTGACACTTAGTTTGCACACAGATGGACTTTACGTAATAAATGATGTACCTATTGATGCTGGTAGCACCAGGTCTTATTTAGGGG